AGTAAGTTTATTCTAAAAACTCTATGAAAGTCAATCAAGGTTTATGAAGTACATCAAAATAGGCTTAATTTTGCTTTTATTCATTTTCTTCTTTAATGAGGTTACTAGTGACCATTTCCATGGATTTAATACTTTACAATTTGATAACAGTGTTTTCATATCTGGGACCACTCTAGGCCTGAGTAATTACTGGTAGTAACTCCTGCTACCACCAGATGGCTCTCTCCATCCGTACAGAACTTGAGCAAAAGGCTCCTACTGCATTTTGAAGTTTCTCTGTATGTCTTATGAAATGCTTTTTAGACGTGGTAAAGAAGCCCAAGGTCCGGAGTTTTATCCCTGGAACCGCAAAAATGAATGAATGAATGAATAAATAAATTTTAAAAATACCAGTACCACCAAAAAAAGGGAAAAAAAGCACAAAAAGAAAAGAAAAAGAGAAATTGAAGGTAAAATTCATTCCAGTGGCATTTTATGGTTTGTCTGCAACAATAAATTGTTAAGGAGAGGGTCTGCAGTGCCACAAGCGTCTTTTCAGCATTTTTACGTTCTTTAAAATTTATTGAATTAAATTATATTTCTTCATTTTCTTGGAGGAATTTAAAGCACTAACCATTTAAATAATGCTCTGTAAGTCTAGCACTTTGCCTTTAAGGAATTCAGTATACATACATTAAGGGGGGGTCAGCTAGGGACCTGGCCTCACTTTTGTTGTTTGAATGCAAACATTGAATTCCCCGAAGAGTTAGAATTATTCTACACTGATATGTATGGCTCCTTTCAGTGAGAATCAGAAATGATTGCTGTGTTTTGATATTTTTTGTTAAAGTTTTGCCAACTATCTTAGAGCATTTTGATTTGGGCCTTGCTTAATCTTATGTGCAATTTCTTTCATTGATCACCAACCTTATTAGATCCATCAGTACCTCTTTATAATATATTGTTCTTTCTGTTAATGTGGAGAGAAAAATCAGCTAATCTTTCCTACTTGCATGGTTTATGTTATAATGCAAAGGAGAAACAGAGAAGCGATGTATTGTAAAGTCTGTGTTGAGCTCTGTAAACAGTTAAGCAGGTGGTGCTACATGACACAGAGAGATGGTCGCATGCTTGCAGCTGCATATAGACTCACTTGCGCTCAGCTGTTCAGTTAAACCCTGTACGAGGGCTTTCCATCTTTAATCTCTAAAATGTCTTTATAAATACGCAGAAGTCCCACTAGGGGGCAGCGCAGACTCCATTAAGACCAACTCATTCATAGGTGTGCAGCTCTGTTAGTCTGCTGCACAGCTATATATAAATATAGATATATATATATA